CCCCCCCCCCTCTCTCTCTCTCTCTCTCTCTCTCTCTCTCTCTCTCTCTCTCTCTCTCTCTCTCTCTCTGTGTGTAGGGTGTACAAAGGTCAATCCTTCCCACATAGGGAACAGAGGCATTACTCTCTCTCTCTCTCTCTGTGTGTAGGGTGTACAAAGGTCAATCCTTTCCACATAGGGAAGCAGTGAATGCCTCTGTTCTTTCTTTTTTTGGCAAGTGTGGTGCTAAGGCTAAAGTAAGCAAGAACTTGCAAAAGGCTGCTCCAGGAGCTCAAGGTTAACTGGTGGCCTATTTATTAGCTGAGGAGGAAGAGCGGGACTACAGGGGTAAAGTCCCACTAGCAGCGTTGAGTTCCCTCCACGCCTGAATCTAGACGTGTTTGTGAAGATGTGCAGTTGTCAACGCCATTTCTGCGCTTCCTCCACAAACACCTCCAGATCCAGGCGTTGAGGAAACTCAACGCTGCTAGTGGGACTTGGGCCCAGGGAAACGGAAACATGTGAGCAGTGTACCCATTTGAAACTCGCGCTGCAACATACCTGCTGGCATGAGTTTTTTCTCACTTTGAAACTCGAACCCTGACGCAGCCGGCACTTGTTCCATATTAATATTTTGTTTTCCAACTAGCCTAGCTGAGTCGGTACACCCATGAACACAGACCTGAGTTCGAATTCCAGTGGAATCGAATGAGTGTAAAAGTAATAAGTATACATGAATTTACCTGGGGCTGGTCAGTTCGAAGATGATATCTCAAGATCATCGCCCTCTCCAACCACCAGTACTTCCGAGCCTTGGTTTCCCGAGGCTTAAACCACCAGTACTTGGCCCAGCTATGGCTGCAGAAAAAAGTACGGTAGAAACATTTCTAGTCGGACGAATTTGCGCGCTCCTGTAGTGGCCCATACATTTCCTAAAATTGTGGCTTGTTAACGGCCACAACGTTAGGAAGTACTGGTGGTTTAAAATGCCCTGGGTGCCAAAGAAAAACGAATCATTCCGGGCCTCCTTTTGGCTGGCGCCGCCAGCTGTTTTGCTCCGGCAGCCCCTGATTGGAGTCATCCATCATGCATGAGGTTATTCATTACTCAAGTTGGAAAACCGTGTGACGTACGACATCTTGCATGGTTTGGTGGGCACTTTAGTAGACTGGACGGGTGAACGGGCGACCGTTGCAGTGGAACTTTTTACCCAATATTTAGAAGTTACTTGTTTATTTCCTTGGGCAGTTCCTGTCAATAAAATAGGATTGTGTGACCCCTGAAAGCTGCAGTGCGCATGCAGCCGCGTCGGGAAAAAATGACTGGGAAACGGACTGGTGGCTTAAGAATATTTTGCCTTTAATGGAAGCTGACCCCTTAAAGCTGCAGTGCGCATGCAGCTGTATCGGTGAAAAATGGTTGGGAAGCGTAGTGGTGGTTTAAGAATACTGTTTTTCTGTTTTCAATGGCAGAGACCTTACCTTCGGCTAAGAAATTGCTTTGAACTTTGAAGCGCAATCTGCCATTCTTCATCCATCTCGGGGTTCGTTTGTATTTTCGTGAGTGTCTTAATACATACGACTCTTGAGTTCCATTTCTACTTTCAGTTTGAAAAGGAACCGCTCGGCGTCTATTTTGGAAATAGCCAATAGTTGGCTTTTCTTATAATTTGACAGAAATTGATTTGAAAATTGAAATTGTGACCATCCATTTCGTAAGCGCAACCCAAAGGGCCCTAACACCCTGTATTTGTAAGAGCTCATTGCCAGTTAAACCACCAGTACTTTCCCATATGTCGGCCGGGGGCATTGCGCCCCGGCCCGATAGTGAAGACTGGCTGCCGATTCGATTTATCAGCGGCCGCCCTTCTGTTTCAGGCCAGCGCGTTACCCGGCGCGCCTCTGAAAACATGGCTGGGAAAGGTACTGGTGGTTTAATTCTTTCTTGGAGCTTGTTGCGTGATGGAATTATTGCCCTACAAAAAGGCTTTAAAAAACGGACAATGGAAAAGACTGAAAACTATCCTCAATGTTCCTCGTCGGACAGAGAGTGGCGAGCACAAAGCTCTTTTGGCTGACTTCGATGTTTCTTACATCACCTGTTATTGAGCCGTTTATGATGTGATAAGTACCTTCTTGAACTTCTTCACCCGAATACAATGCACGCGCATTCTACGGTCATTTTATCCTGAGAATTATTTTTTTCTGTTCGTCTGATTGCATCTGGACTCAAACTTGGGTCTGATTCATATTTCAACAGTTCAAGTGTGTACCAACTGAGCTAGGCCCGTTGGTAGCCGCTACACTGCTCATTTTTCTTGTCTACAGTATCTGTTCTGATCAGTTTATAATATCTGATC